TGTGATCCTCCTGCCTCAGCCTCTCAAATTTCTGGGATTACAGGCCTGCATCACTGCACCTGACTGAATTTACAGAACTCTTATGAGGAAACTGATTGGYTCAAAAACCTGCTAACCCAACATCGAGCAGAACAAGAGTTAACTAAATACAAGGAAATGCTTTGGCAGGTTTTCCTGCTGTCAGCCTGAACTGAAATTCTTAGGGTGCGTACTTTGATGATCTCCATAAGACTGATCAAGACAACTCCCTAGGGAATCTGCTTTATAAAACGTGGGAGRGACCCAAACTGCAGGGCAAGTCTTGGTATGTAGGAAGATGTAAATCCACTGAGGGGCCATTGGAACATCCCAGGGCTTCCTTCAAGGCCACCCTCAGTGGGGTGCTTTCTGGTTGGATGGACCTTTCCCACACAGGAAAGCCAGGCTGGGACGGGCACCACCTGTTAGAAGATGTATTTCCTTTATGTGGTTCTTGGAGAAACCTCGGGACAGAGGACCTCCTTTATTGGGTAGGTTATAAAGGTGCTAGATAAGGTGCTGTAAAAAAAAGGCACTACCACTGTCCTGATCATGTTCAGTCTTCTGGAAAGGTTGAAAAGGATGAATGGCATTTTAAGCCAGAAACCGGTAAAATGGTACATGCTTCCCAAGGAATACGGCTCAGCAACACAGAGGGTGAACTACCAGTCCAAGCTTGAATGAATCCCAGGGCATTATTCTGAATGGAAAAAATGTCGTCTCAAAAGACCACACACTGATTCCATCGATATGACTTAGAGATGACAAAGGGTTAGAAAAGCAGGTTCCATACTGGCTGGCAGGGATTAGGGGCTGAGCAGGAGGTAGAGTGTTTACACAGGGGTCCTGTGGGGCCGGAGCTGTGCAGACCTGAGCCTCCGCTGCCATCCCGAACCTACCCCATGATACAATGGAGGAGAAGCTGAGACCCACGTGCAAATGAGTACATGTAAAAAGAGGGAGACCTGTAAGCGGTACCATTGGGGGACAGTGTACTGGGCTTCTCTCGGCCTTGTTTCTCCTCCTCCTCCTCCTCCTCCTCCTCCTCCTCCTCCTCCTCCTTCTTTTTTTTCTTTTTGCAGTACTGGAAACCGAACCCAGGGTGCTCTACCACTGAGTTATATCCCCAGCACTTTTTATTTTTTACTTTGAGATAGGGTCTCAATAAGTTACCCAGGCTGGCCTCAAACTTGGAATTCTCCTGCCTCAGCCTCCAAGTAGCTGGAATTACAGGCTTACACCTCTATGGGAATCTCTGGTTATGTGAGAACTCCAGTTTAAGAGCAGGATGATAAGTCATTGCAAAAGTTTTCTGGCTGAAGACTGACTTTGGAGTTCTGAACCTTTAACCTACAGCCTGGTTTAAAAAAAATAAATTAAATGATTAATTGATTAAGGGCCTGTCCAGTAGCTAGTCACCCCTGACCTTTAGCTAAGAATTTCCTTTTCAGACACAAAGAAATGTTTAAGGAGATGAAAATTCTAATTACCCTGATTTCCTCATTCTATTGTATCAGGTATCAAATTATCCTATTGCACCTTGTAAATAGGTATAATTATTATATGGCAATTAAAAAGCCCCCTTGATAAACTTGAAAAAAAATTTCCTAACACAGCATGACAACACAGGGCAGAAAGGGAGCAGGAGGCAGTAATGGAGGCAGGGAAGGCTCCTGGGTGTGTGTGTACGTGTGTGTGCATGCACACGGTGCTAGAGATGGGACCYGGGGCCTTGTGTGTGCTAGGCAAGCACCACTGAGCCACATCCCCAGCCTTTTTAAGACTTTTTATTTTGAGATAGGGTCTTGCCAGGTAGCCCAGGCCAGCCTTGAACTTGTGAGCCTCCTGCCTCAGCCTCCTGAGTAGTTGGGATTACAGACTGGTGCCGCTGCCCTTGGCTTCCAGATGTCTATTTTTAAGTGTGAGGTACTAAGGACATTCACACTTTGTACTTCGGATCTCTAGAATTTTTCATCTTGCTGAATGAGACACTGTATCCATTATCAGTGCCCCGTGTCCCCTTCTCCTAGTGCCTGGTGACCCATCATTCTTTTTTTCTCTTTAGGAATCAGACTACTCTTGCTACCTCAAATAGGCAGAATCATACAATATCTGTCCTTTTGTGACTGGCTGATTTCACTTAGCATAAAGACCACAAGCTTTCCTACATTGTAGCCTGTATTAGGTTTCCTATCTTTTTAAGGCTAAATAATATTCCATTATATGTATGGACCACATTTTGTCTATCCATTCATCCATTGATGGGCACTTGGAGTATTGGTCCATTTTCCACTGCCACAACAAAAKACCTGAATTAGACAATGTATAGAGAAAAGAGGTTTGTTCCACTCAAAATTTTGAAAGTTCTGTACCCTGGCTCTGGTAAGGGCCCCTTGACTGATGGTAGATGGCATCATGGTGGGAGTATATGGAAGAGGGAGAGATTATAAGTCAAGACAGGAAGCCAGAAAGGAAGGAGGGGCTATCCTTTCTACTCTTACAGCCCACCCTGGTACAAACTAACAGGAGTCCCAGGAGAACTACATTAATCCTTTCTAAGGACAGGGCCCAAAATGACCTGGTCACCTCCCCCTACCTGCACCTCTTAAAGGTCCACCACCTCCCAACATCATCACCACACTGGGGGACAACCTGAACCACACCAGTCCCCGGCCCCTGGCAGCCCTCGCATCCTGGCCTCATGAGCATTGCCGCTCCGAACCGGGGACAGAGAGCTCAGCCCCTGCTTCTGGCTCCTTCGAATGTGCGCGGGTGGGGGTGAGGGTGGACTGAGAAATACTCCTGAACCCAGCCTGGGGCTGCCGAAACCTCCTAGGTCTTTATCAGAGGCTACACCGCGGGAGCGCCCAGGGCCTGTGGAGAACAGGCTCACACCTGGGGTCCTTCTACACATTCAAGGGAACAGGGGTCAACCTCCTGGGCAACTGCCAGCTCGCCATTCTGAAAGACCCGGCCCACCCACCCGCTGGCTGGCCAGGCGTGAATTCGACGCCCTGGCAGCCCTGCCCAGCCCACCTGCACAATCTGGAGCTACGGCTAGAAGCCCAAATTCATGGGGTCCTTCCCAGCACTGCCCTTTCCCACAGCACGGTCACCGTGGGACCTACTGCTGGGCCCACCCACATGTCAAGGCTGTGATGAGAGGCCAAGTGGGTGGCGGGGCAGCTGAGCCACCCTGCATCCCTCTTTCCCCTGTCTATGGGGCTGGTGGCATCAGGAAGCCAAACCCAGGTCTCTGGCCCAAGCTGTGTGCTTCTAACCCCAGCTCCCATCAGCACCCAGCTCCCGCCAGAGCCTGCTGGGTCAAGCTCTGTTCTAGAGCCTGACCCAGCAGGCTCCCAGGAAATACTGGAAAAAATAAGGTGAAGGAAGGACTAGGGTCCTCCACAAGAGGGGGGGTGACCTCAGCAGGACACTGTGAAAGCTCTGCACCCAGAGGGCGCCTGCCCCACTTGCCTGCCTCCCCTGCTGGGTCCATCACCGGAGCCGCCTCCGTCTGGATGCCTATGCCAGGCAGGCTCAGCCACACCCTCCACCACCCACGGCCAGCAAGCCTTCAGTTCACAGGGCAGGGCAGGGCCAGGATGRCTAGCTGGAACAAGGGGAGGGACATGGAACCTTTACAGCCAGGAACAAAGTCTTCCCCTATTTAAGTCCAAGCATCCTGCGCTGCAGCTGGTACCCTGGTGTCCCAGCCTGCCACCGACCACCAGACCGAAGACATGCAGGGAGCCCAGGCACTGCTGCTGCTGCTGGGCCTGAGGCTACAGCTGGCCCATGGTGTCATCCCAGGTACGAGGTTCCCCCAGCCCCTCTCCCTGCCCCACAGGCCAGCCCCCAGGCTGACCTAGCTGCACTCTCCCCTTGGCCAGTGGAGGAGCAGAATCCAGCCTTCTGGAACCAGAAAGCCACCGAAGCCCTGGACGCTGCCAAGAAGCTAAAGCCCATTCAGACCTCAGCCAAGAACCTCATCATCTTCCTGGGGGACGGTGAGTGCGCCAGGCTGGTCCACCCCGTGGTGCTCACGGGCCTTGAACCCAGGGCCACTGCTRGGTCCAGACCAGCCCTGGGGCTCAGGCCTGAAGGGGATCTGCTCCTTCAGGGATGGGCGTGCCCACAGTGACAGCCACCCGGATCCTAAAGGGACAGGTGCAAGGCAAGCTGGGGCCTGAGACGCCCCTGGCCATGGACCACTTCCCATATATGGCTCTGTCTAAGGTGAGGCCTCTGAGCAGGGGGCTGGGGGCTGTGGCAGGGGAAGGACCCAGGAGAGATGGACCTGTCCTCCCTGTCCTAGGCCTGGGTGAAGGACTMAATGTCTGCCCCAGAGCAGAGCTGAGCGTATCTCTGTCCCCAGACATACAGTGTGGACAGACAGGTGCCAGATAGCGCCAGCACAGCCACGGCCTACCTGTGTGGGGTCAAGGCCAACTACAAGACCATTGGCTTGAGTGTGGCCCCGCCCGCTTTGACCAGTGCAACACAACACGAGGCAACGAGGTCATGTCTGTGATGTACCGGGCCAAGAAAGCAGGTGGGCTTGGGCCTGGGCTTGGGGTCAGGGCAGGCCTGGAGCTCTGGGTGGCCCACCCTGACCCCTGCCACCTCCAGGGAAGTCCGTGGGAGTGGTGACCACCACCACGGTGCAGCATGCCTCGCCAGCTGGCACATATGCACACACGGTGAACCGCAACTGGTACTCGGATGCAGACATGCCAGCCTCGGCGCTGCAGGAGGGCTGCCAGGACATCGCCACGCAGCTCGTCTCCAACATGGACATTAATGTGCGGCACAAAGGGCAATGGGAGGGGGCTGGCTGGAGGAGTGGGTTTTGAAAGGCCACAGCCCCAAGCAACCAATAGCCTGAGTTCTGGGGCCTGTTAGGGTCTCTGGGAAGGTGGGCAAACAAGAGGAGGCAGTATTGACCTGGTGGGGCAGTGGGGGCTGTCTGTAAGCTAGAAAGAAGGGGTTCTTTTTGCCCCAAGTTCAACTGCCCTTATGCTCTGGCAACAGGTGATCTTGGGTGGGGGCCGAAAATACATGTTTCCTAACGGGACCTCAGACCCTGAGTATCCAGGTGATGTCAACCAGACTGGAGTTAGGCTGGATGGCCGGAACCTCGTGCAGGAGTGGCTGCAAAAGCACCAGGTGAGAGGACTCACAGAGGCACAGTCATGGCAGGGACCAGGGTGGGGCTGCAGATCTCAGACTAAAAACTGGCTCTGTCCCTCCAGGGGGCCCGATATGTGTGGAACCGCCAGCAGCTCATTGAGGCATCCCAGGACCCATCCGTGACATATCTCATGGGTAATGACCCCACTCCTGACCTCAGTGGCCTCAGAAAGCTGCTATTGGAGCATGTGTGCTTGTGGCCATGACCCCCTCCCAAGTCAGTAATCACTGGGTCCCTTGTCCCTTAGGCCTCTTTGAGCCTGTAGACACAAAATTTGAGATCTACCGAAACCCGGTTCTGGACCCCTCCCTGATGGAGATGACGGAGGCAGCCATTCRAGTGCTGAGCAGGAACCCYCGCGGCTTCTACCTCTTTGTGGAGGGTAAGTCTGGGAGCCAGAAGAGCAGAGGCGGAGGGGGACCAGGACAGGACCAAGCTTCACGCCCCTCCCACTGGCTCCCGCAGGGGGCCGCATCGACCGTGGTCATCACG